AGCGGCGCCGGCGCCGGGGACTTCGTCTCTGCCGGCCCCCGGGGGCGGCTGCTGCCCGCCTCCCCGAGCCCCGAGCTCTCTGCCCCCTCGGCTGCCAGGGCACCGGGCAGCCGCGCAGATTGCACCGCTCTTGGCTGTGGGGACCCGGCGGAGCATGTCGGAGGAGAGCGACATGGAGAAAGCTATCAAGGTAAAGGGAAGATGCCAAGCCTCCGCGCTGTTTTCTCCTCTTTAGCCCCAGAAAACCGAGAGTGTTCGGGGCGAAAGGCTTCGACTATCCCGGGGTTTCGGCCTCCCCCACCCCCCGCCCCCGATTCCTCGGGCCGAGTTTGACAGCCCCGGGGCGAAGGGAGTGTGTGTGTGTGTGTGTGTTGGGTTGTCGGGTCTCCTCCGCTTCCCCGAGCAAGGTGAGTGGCATGAAGATGAGTGGGAGGGAGGGGCCTGCTACCCCTTTTCGTTTCCACCGCCCCCAAGTGCCTCCACCTAGCGATTTGTTTCCGTGTGGTCGGCTGCAGCTACGTTTGCCGAGTGGCTTTCATCCATCCCTCTGGATGTGTTTGAAATCACCTCCTCGGAGACTGCAGTGTGACTAGAAGGTGGTTCGTCTTCCTGTGAAAACCTGCCCTTAGGGGAATACATTGCTCTTTAATGTGTTTTTTCTTCCCTCTTCGGGGCGGGGGAGGGGGGAAATCACTGAGAGGCGTGTGTGTATGTGTGTGTACGTACACGTTTCTTTGTATTTAGAAAGACTTAACAGTGCTCGGTTTCTTTCTGTTGTTTTACAAAAGAAAAGCAAACATGTTCTGAAATTACTCAAATAAAATAATAAATTTTCTGAAACGTGTGTGTGTGTTGTGCGCAGCGTGCCAGTATGGGGACTTGAAATCAGGGGGACTTGAAATCAGGGCAAGGGTGCTGTCCCTGAGCTTTTCAAGGCTACTACTAGGTCTCCCATTTGAGCCACAGTTCCACTTCCGGCTTTTTTGGTGGTTATTTGGAGACAAGTCTCAGGGACTTTTTGTCCAGGTTGGCCTCACAATGATCTCCATGTCTCAGCCTCCTAAACATCTAGGATTACCGGTTTGAGCACCTGGCACCTAGTTATTTTTTTATTAGCATAATTAATTGTATGAGTGTTGAGTTCATTGTGATACTTCCACACATCAATGGACAGATTTTATGAGTTGTGTGTCTTATAGTTAGGAAATTAGGGTTCATGTAAAGCTAAAGTTAATGTTTTACATCTGTTAACCTAGTGCATTTAGAATTTCATTTTCCCTTGAGGGACATACAACTATTGGCAGCTTGGGGTTATTTTCCTCTTCAAGCTATTTCAGTATACAGTCTCTATTGCTATATAGTACAGTATATAGTTTATCAAAATCCTCAGTGATTCCAAAGAAAAAAGTAACTTTATTTTTTACCTTTTGTGGTGCTAGGGAGTGAATCTAGGATCTTGAGCTTGGTAGGCAAGTGTGCAAGCACTGTGCTATACAATCTTACTCTTTATTTTTGAGACTGGATCTGGCAATGTCCATGGTGGCCTTGAACTTGCTATGTAGTCCAGGCTAGTCAGCACTTGGGGTCCTCCTGCTTCTGCCTTGAATGCTGGGATTAAGGTATAACACCATGTTTCACATGCTTGGTGAGGCTGCATCTTCTTTTTTTTGTCGGTTGTGGGGCTTGAACTCTGGCCTGGGCGCTGTCCCTCAGCTCTTCAGCTCAAGGTGAACGCTCTACCATTTGAGCTACAGCGCCACTAAGGGTTTTCTGGTTTTTTTTTTTTGGAGATAAGAGTTTTACGGTCTCTCCTGCCCAGACTGGCTTTGAACCACCATCCTCAGATCTCAGCCTCCTGAGTAGCTAGGATTATAGGCAAGAGCCACTGGTGCCCTGTGAGGCTGCATCTTCTAAAGGAGTTTTAAACATATATATTGGACTGTGGATATAGTGCAGCCAACATAAAATAACAAGCTGGGTATTATGAGAAGTCCATTCAAAATTCAGGTAAAAACAGCCATCTAGCTAGGGCTTCTACATTCATAAACCCTTTTATCCTTATTTCTCCTAGCCCTCAAAGGACAGTCATTTAGTGATGATGTTTTCCCATTACAAAGCCAGATACAAAAATCAGAGGTTTAAAAAAAAAAGAAATCAGAGGTTTGTGGGTGGGCATGTAGCTCAGTGATACAGTGCTTGCCTAGCATGTGCAGAGCCTCAAGTTTCTTTTTTTTTTTTTTTTTGTCGGTCCTGGGGCCTGAACTCTGGGTCTGGGCACTGTCCCTTAGCTCTTCAGCTCAAGGCTAGCGTTCTACCACTAGAGCCACAGCGCCATTTTCAGCTTTTTCTGCATATGTTGTGCTGAGGAATCGAACCCAAGGCCTCATACATGCAAGGCAAGCACTCTACCACTGAGCCACCTTCCCAGCCCCTCAAGTTTGATTCTTAGCATCACAAAAACAAAAACCATAGATCAAATTTTAAATAATAAAAATAAGGATTCTGAGAGACTGCTTTGATATATATTTTCCCCCTCTTGGTTTGGGTTTTAGTGTTCGTTTCTCTAGGTAGACTAATGATTAAAATCCAAGCCTCGCCATTTATTAGCTTTGGATTCTTGTTTAAGTCACATCATTGCTCTGTCCTTTGTTTCCTATACAAAGAAACGAGTTGTTTCCCAGCTCAAAGGAATTTGAGGTTTAAATGGAAAAATGTACTACGGTATACTCAAAATAACAGAGCTCAATGAATATTAGCTTGTAGCAGCATAAGCATGATTTAGGAAGAAATTTTTTTAACCAGTTGTTGATTATTGTCTAGCCTAATTTTCTGAAGTTTTCAAAAGCTTTTCTGCACTAAAATTACTTGATAGGTCACTAGTGAATTTCCCTATTAATCTGGGCTTGTCTAACTGGTGGAGTTAAAAATATCTGATTTGGCAACCAGTGCTAACTAGGATATACCCCCTTTGGAAGCAAATTAATATTACAGCAAATAAAACTTTTTTGAGCTATTTCATTGTGTTGTGTTTATTGTTTCACTTTTTTGAGGTGTATATCAAATAGCCTTGAGACCTGTAGAGTTCAGCTAGAAACCTGTTGTCCTGGGCTTTTACCACAGCCTGTGAAGTTCTGTGGCCTTACTCTCTGAGAGAACACTGATTAGCCTCTTAAATGCTCATTTTTATTACTTTAAAAAATAGCCAGCCATCATAGCTTATACCTGCAATTCTAGCTACTAAGGAAGTTGAGATCTGAGAAACAAGGTTCAAAGCTAGCCCAGGTAGGAAAGTCTGAGACTTATCTCCAATTAGCCATTAAAAAGCCAGAAGTGGAGCTGTGGCTCAAGCGGTACAGTGCTAGCTTTTAGCACAAAAACTCAGGGACAGTGCTCAGACTCTTGAGTTCAAGCCTCAGGACTGGTGTGCATGACTGCACACACATACACACTATATATATATGTGTGTGTGTGTGTGTGTGTGTATATATATATATATATATATATATATATATATATATATATATATATATACCTATATACATATAAAAGGCATCGTGACTCATGCTTGTAATATGATCTGGAGAATCACATTTAAAAGCTAGGCTGGTCAGGGCTAGGAAGGTGGCTCAGTGGTAGAGTGCTTGCCTTGCATGGTTGAAGCCCTGGGTTCGATCCCTCAGCACCACATAACCAAAAAGAAAAAAGCTGGAAGTGGCGCTGTGGCTCAAATGGTAGAGTGCTAGCCTTGAGCTGAAGAGCTGAGGGACAGCACCCAGGCCCAGAGTTCAGGCCCCACGACTGGACCCCCCCCCAAAAAAAAAAAAAAAGCTAGGCTGGTCAGAAAAGCTTTCACAGACTCCATCTCCAAGAGACCTGGCTCAAGGGGTAGAGTGGTAGTGGAGAATGAGCTTAAAGGCCCTAAAGTCAAACCCCAGTATTGCCAAAAAAGAAATTAGGACAGTAACTGAGCCTGGGAACTCAGGCCTATAATCCCTATGGTCAGCAATTCAGGAATTGGAGATTAGGATTACAGTTCAAGACCAACTCGGGAAAAACTGAGATTACCCCCTCCCCTCACCCCCGCATCTCAACTAAAAAGCCAGGCATTGTGGTATGCACCTAGGATCCTAGCTATATGGGAGGCCTTAGGATGAGCCCCAGGCAAAAGAAAAATATATAAATAAAGCCTTACCTGAAAAATAAAGCAAAAAAGGACCTGGAGGACCTGGAATATTGCATGAGAGGCAGAGTACAGCCAAACCTGAGACCCTGAGTTCATACCCTAGTAGTGCCCCCTCTCCTTCCCCCGAAAAAAAGCTCAAAAAGCAGATAGTGTTTTCTATCCTCACAGCCCACTGCTTAACTACCAAGGCACCTAACATGTACCCCAAAATGCATATCCTGCCCAGGGCTAGTGGCTCATGCCTGTACATCTCACTACTCAGGAGGCTCGAGATCTGAGGATGGGTGAAGTGGAGGTGTGGTTCAAGGGTTAGAGCACAAACCTTGAGGGGCTGCTCCCAAACCTTGATTTCAAGCCCCAGAACTGGGAGAAAAAATTAAAATTGAAATTAAAAATAAAAAAAAGAAAGGGAAAAAAATAACCCTCTTGGGTAAGTTTTCTGTTGTTTTTGTAGCTGTTCTCTTTGAGGAGTTTTCTCTAGGGGATATAATATTACTAGTCTACTTTGGGATAATACTGACTTAAATCTGATAAAGTAAACTTTTGCTCCAGTATCGCCATAGTTTTTCCTTCCTCCTTTGTGTACTTATTGCTAAGTGTATCTGTTATATTTAACGCTGACAGTTCAGTTTAGTGACTTGTCTTTTTTAACTATCTATGTTTATTAAAGTAAGAGCAGAGAAGAGCTGAGCATGTCCCGCATTACCAGTAATCCCAGCACTTGGTAGGCTCAGCCCGCAGGATCATGAGTTTGAGGCCAACCTGAGTTAGAGAGCCCTGGTCTCAAAATTCAGGAAATGAATGAATGCAGGCATGCATGATTTTTCTTTCATGTTTACTTGATCTGCTCCCTTCCTGTGCATCTAAGTTGCTGCTCTCAGAAGTGCTTTCTTTAGTTCTTGTAGAGCAGGTATTCTAGCAATGAATTATTTCATCTGTTAATGTCGTTTATTTCTCTGTCGTTTCTAAGGGATATTTTTATCCAATACAATTGAATTCTTGAATTTTTCCTTTCAGTGTGTGATTGTTATCTCTTAGCCTTGTGTCTGATGAAAATAGCTATTACTTGTTTGGTATATGTTTGTATATTTTACATTCAACATGTTTTGTATAATTCTGTATACTTTATACATATTTGTATATAGTACTTGTATATTTTGTATATGAGCTGTCACTGTTTTTCTTCTGCTTAAATATTTTTCCTGTCTTTTGACTAATTGTTTATTATTATTTGACTAATGTGTTTTTGCCTACTTAGACTTTCATGAGCTTATTGGAGCAATAGACTGAATGTGCTTGCATTGTATGAGTCTCAGACAGGTTTTGGAGCTTCAATTCAGAGCCTAGGCACTTTCCTTTAGCTTTTTCTGCTGAAGGCTGATGCTCTACCACATGAGCCGTACCTCCACTTTCAGTTTTTTGCTGGTTAATTGGAGATAAGAGGCTGGCTTCCAACCTTGATCCTCAGATCTCTTGAACTGCTGCTGGTGCCTAGCTCAAGCTTTTTTTTGGTCAGTTGTAGGGCTTGAACTCAGGTTCTGGGCACTGTTCCTAAGCTTTTCTCCTCAAGGCTAGCACCCTATCACTTTGAGCCACAGCACTACTTCCAGTTGTCTGGTGGTTAATTGGAGATAAAGAGTCTCACAGATGTTCCTGACCAGGCTATGTTTGAATTGCAGTCCTCAGATCTCAGCCTCCTGAGTAGCTAGGATTACAGGTGTGAGCCACCTGTGCCCAGCTTAACTCAAGCTTTTCTTTTTAGTTCAGATTCTTTTGCTACCTGGAATCTGTTGGGCTTCTCTACTGAACTTTTCATGTTAGTTATAATAGTGTTGGTTTCCATGTGATTCTTCTTCGTGGTCTCTGTTACTGTTGAAACTCCTGTATTTGTTGGGTATGGTGGTACACACTTGAGACCAGCAGTTTGATGAGCTTGAGCAGCACGATGAGAGGCCACCTAAAAATTAAGTCCTGTTTTGTCTCAGCATTCATAGTTCCCTTTATTCTTTGAACTTATTTAAAATAGTTGCTTTTAGTTAGGCTTAGTGGCTTAAGCCTGTAATCTGAGCAGCTTCTCAATAGAGGAGTCATTATTTGCCTTCTCCCTTTTATATTTTAATAGGAAACTTCCATTTTAGAAGAATACAGTATCAATTGGACTCAGAAGCTGGGAGCTGGAATTAGTGGTCCAGTTAGGTAAGAGACCCATGAAAGAACTGTGGTAAAATTGTTCAGAGCAGGGGTTTGTGAAATATGTCTCGAATAACAAGTATCACCTGTGCCAGGTGATAATAGATAACTGCTGGGAATTGAACTTAGGCCTTGTGGGTATTAAGCACAGACCCTTCCACAGAGCCACAACCTCAGTGCCAAGTAGAAGATTTCATGTTAGTTTCTGTTTCTTTCTCCTGCATCTGGAAATATAGCTGAAGTAACCATGTCACATGGTCTGTAGTAGGAATGGCAGAAGATATGGATACTATGAGGCCACTTTGAGAGTTACCTGAAGCAGAAGAGCCATTGCTTCTTTATTGGCTTATGTTGGTGAATTAGTGTTACACACTCAGGAACTGAGACCTGAGCTAGGGCGCTGGGTAAAGTGAGATGCTTTTCTCTGTCATCACCTGCTGCCCTGGGTAACTTCATATTGCTCACCTGGACATATGTCCTTGATTAGAAGTATAATTCCCAAACAACAGACTTGGAAAATTAAATTTTCTGTACATAGACTATTGCTGATCTTTCTCCCCTTCCAAATCTAGAGTCTGTGTGAAGAAATCTACCCAAGAACGGTTTGCACTGAAAATTCTTCTTGATCGTCCAAAAGCTAGAAATGAGGTATGGTCCTTTACTGCCTTGACTTGCATATTCAAGGAGCCTAAGAATTCATTTATTTATTGGCTGTTTTCCCTTGGCAGTATTGGGATTTGAACTAGAGTCCTGACTAGTGCCTACTAATCACCGCCAAGCCGTGTCTCCAGCCTTGGTACTTGGACATTATTTTTGAGATAGTCTTGCTTTCTGCCCAGGCAGGCATTTCATCACAAGCCACTTACGTTAGACTTCCTGGACATTAGGAGAACAGACCTCTCCATATAGCTCTTCCTCAAGAAGGAGTCTTGTGAACCTGGCTGGCCTCGAACTATGATCCCCACAATCTCAGTCTCCTAAGTAGCTTGGACGACAGACATGAGCCACATGTACCTGGCAAGAATTATTCCTTTTATAATTATGGCTGCTTCCTGGAGAGAAGAGATGCAGGAGAAAAATTTTGTCTTCCCTATTCATGTTATCATTATAAAATAGTCTCATCTTTCAATATGGAAAGCTATTAGCCTGTAGTCTAGTTTCCTTCTGGCCTCCTCACATCTTTTTAATTTCTTTCTTTTTGCCAGTCCTGGGGCTTGAACTTGGGGCTTGGGCTCTGTCCCTGAGCTACTTTTTTGCTTAAGGCTAGCACTCGACCATGTGAGCCACAGCACCATTTCTGGCTTTTTCTGGCTTCATGCATGCTAGGCAAGCACTCTACCACTGAGCCACATTCCCAGCTCTCACATCTTTTTTAATTAATGATCTGTTGTACTCTGATATATTCCAGTTTCACTTTAGTTTTTGCTTACTGAACATGGTGCTTAAAGGATGGAAATAAGATAGACTGAGGAAGGGTCAAATGAATGCTGTATAGATTCTGAAGGAGGGCACACGTGCACACACACAAACACGTGCTGGTACTCGGGCTTGAACTCAGGGTCTGGGTATTGTCTCTTAGCTTTTTCATTCAAGTTTGGCACCCTACCCCATGAGCTACAGCTTCACATCTGGCTTTTTTTTATTGTTAATTGGAGATAAGAGTCTAAGGAACTTTTCTGCCTGGACTGGTTTCAAACCACAATCCTCATATCTCCACCTGGTGGGTAGCCAGGATTACAGATGTGAGCCACCAGCACCTGCTGAAGTAGACTTATCCCTTAGGCTTAGTGTGGTCAGTTCTGAGATAGTGGGAAGTATAGAGAGAAGACATTGGCATCCTCTTGTCACAGAAACATCTCCTCTTTTCTCTTCAAGGTACGTCTGCACATGATGTGTGCCACACACCCAAACATTGTTCAGGTTGTTGAAGTGTTTGCGAACAGTGTACAGTTCCCACATGAGTCCAGCCCCAGGTAAGACCACGCCGCGGCGGCTTCACATGCCTGTGTGCGGGCCACAGTGTAGCAGTGTTCCTTTCACTTACGTACTCTTTCCTTTCCCTCCCTCTTCCCCTCCCTCTCCCCTGCTATCCATTTCCTCCTCTTTCTCTTAGAATTTTGGAGAAAATTTAAACATACATAAAAGCAGATCGAATTTTGTAATGAAGCCCCGAGTACTTATTACTCAGCTTTAGTAGGTACTGTTTTGTGGAAAATCTCTGCATAATTGCTTTCTCTTAGAAAATAAAATACATAAAACATTTAAGGGCTGAGAATGTTGCTTAGTGGCAGAGTGCTTGCCCAGTATGCACAAGGCCCTGGGTTCATTCCCCAGCTCTAAAAAATAAAAAATGAATGGATAGAAGGAAGAGAGGAAAGCAAAAGGAAAAAGAAAAATAGGTAAAGGGAGTTTCCAGTTTAACAAAACACTTTAGAAGTGGTTGGTGTCCTCCTATAATTCCAGCACCTGTGAGGCCGAGGCAAGGAGACCCAGAGTTTGAGGCCAGCCTGGGCGACCACAGAAAATCCTGTCTTAAAATAATAATAATATAGAAGATAAACAGATTGTATTTCAAATAATCGAAAAGGGGCCAAATGTTATTGTAGGCAGAGTCTTAGGCTGCTATATAGCACAATACCCTCTTGGTTAGTCTAAAAGGAAAAAGTTGACTTTATTCTTTGAGCTGTCAATCGTTTGGCAGGCACACGGGGTGGTATTTGAAGTGTATTCATTTGGAGATGGAGAGGAAATCACCCTGCAGGCACGGTTGGTAGGACATGAGCACAATCTCTGACCCTTCTGGTTCTTACAAGGAGAGGCACTTTTGTCTGAGAGGTGTGATGTCCCAGAGACATGGGAAGTCTGGCACCTGAAAAGTAGATATTTTACAGGTGGAGGAAGATGACAGAAATTTAAAGTTATTTTTTACAACTATGCTCTGTTGGTGAAAGCATTTGGATGGAAGCTGGAAGCATTTATATCAAAGAATGGTAACCAAAATTCATGGATTTTTTTTTTTTGAGGATGGGAAAATTTTTCCTTATATTTAGTAGTTTGAGTAGTTCGTATTATCTTGGGCTTGTCTTACAGATTTGATAGGTGAGATCTCTTTAGGTCAGTTTTTTAATGTTTAGTTTTTTTTTTTAACTTAACAAATCAAATGCTTTCAAACAGGGCTCGACTCTTAATTGTAATGGAGATGATGGAAGGGGGCGAGCTATTTCACAGAATCAGCCAGCACCGGCACTTTACAGAGAAGCAAGCCAGCCAAGTAACAAAGCAGGCAAGTGACCCCCGGGTACCAAGCAAACTACCAACGATGTTGGTTAACCAGTGCAATTTCATTAGGGAGAATAAAAGAAAGCTTAAGAAAAGCTCTATTTGACTTCTCATTGCCTGCTTTGTTATGTAATAAGAGAGGATGTCTTAACTGGAGAAATGTGACCCCTTTTATACTTTTTTGGGGGGGTGGAGGGCCTATTATTAATTGGTTGTCAACCGCTTCTTGAGGCCTACTGTAAACAATAAACTGAAGGAAGATAATCTTACCTCCTTCAATGACTGTTGATATTATATTTCAGGTGCCGTCCACAACATTTTATCTATTGGACTTTGAGATAAAATGCTGTGGACGGCACCTGAAAAGCTGGATGGTACAAACAAATATATCTTCTAACATCTTTGCACATAGGATGCTTCTTGCACAAGCCAACTATCATTTCTGCCGATTTTAATAGGATTCTCACATCTTTGTAATTCCAGGTTATTTCCAGTTCTGTTTGACATTACATTTTTATTGTTGTAGAAATGATTATTTAAGTCACATTCAATACTAGGAATCTGACTGGTGCCGGTCTCTTGTCCAGATAAAAAGCTCAAGGTCTATCTTCAGACCAAGTAAGCAGGACAGAGAGAAGCCAGAAGCACAGTCCACTTAGATTTTAATAAAATCTTTCTACATTTTTTTTTTTTTTTTTTGGGTCCGGTCGTGGGGCCTGAACTCTGGGCCTGGGCGCTGTCCCTCAGCTCTTCAGCTCAAGGCTAGTGCTCTACCACTTGAGCCACAGCGCCACTTCCGGCTTTTTTTTTTTTTTTTGCTTATGTGGTGCTGAGGAATCGAACCCAGGGCCTTGAGCATGCAAGGCAAGCGCTCTACCACTGAGCCACCTTCCCAGCCCTCTTTCTACATTTTCTATGATCACTTTTAAAACATTTTTTGGTTGCTTCCTAAGTAATATTTGGAATGCTGAAAAAATTCCATATTGAGAGTTGGAGAACATTAGAATTTGTTCTTTCCATTATACTTCTTTAAATCTTAGGACTAAAAATGATCTCTAATAATCTGTAAAACAAACATCAAAAATCCACTCAAATCCATACAGGCAACAAAAATAACGGGATTTTGTTGTCCGTGCCAGTCCTGGGGTTTGCACTCAGGGCCTGGATACTGTCCTTGCTCAAGGTTAATGCTCTACCACTTGAGCCACAGATCTACTTCTGGCTTTTTGGTGGTTCACTGGAGGTAAGAATCTCATGAACTTTACTGCTCAGCCTCCTGAGTAGCTAGGATTATAGTTGTAAGCCACCTGTGCCTGGCAATATTTCAACAAGTAATCATGACATAAGTTGGAAAAACTCCATCAGCTGGTTTGAAGGAGCCTGCCATCCAGCTCCCTCAAGAACAGTTGTGTTTTTAGCCAGGTAGACCTGTTCCTGCCTAGTTGGGGAAATCCATGCACACTGAAGACTGCAGCTAAGAGTTTCCTTTGCCGTGCCTGTCACACCTCAAGCAAGTAAAAGTGGGAGCAAGTGATTTTTTTCTATTTCTTACAGTATGTCATTCGTTTTTTTTTTTTTTTTTGCTGGACGTGGGGCCTGAACTCTTGGCCTGGGCGCTGTCCCTCAGCTCTTCAGCTCAAGGCTAGGACTCTACTACTTGAGCCACAGCACCACTTCCAGCTTTTTCTGCTTATGTGGTGCTGAGGAACTGAACCCAGGGCCTCATGCATGCAAGGCAAGCACTCTGCCACTGAGCCACCTTCCCAGCCCGTCATCAGTTTTTTTGACAGTTATTTTAATGTTATAGTTTGTGTTTTTTTAAATTATTATTTAACAAAATCTAGGTTATAGGCTAAATTAAAGCTGACCACTGTCTTAACTGACTTAATGATGGCTTACTTATTTAAAGTCCCAAGTTTTCCCCCGTAGGATATTCAGGATTGTTCTTTTCTCAGAGGTGGCTGCCCACTGTGTCCTTTTTCAGATAGCATTGGCTCTACAGCACTGTCACTTGTTAAACATTGCACACAGAGACCTCAAGCCTGAAAATCTGCTTTTCAAGGATAACTCTTTGGTGAGAAAACTTAATTTTCTGCATGTTTAATGCTTCCACTCTTAACACAGTTTAGGAGTAGGTGTGTGTGTGTGTGTGTGTGTGTGTGTGTGTGTGCGTGCGTGTGTGTGTGTGTGTGTGTGTGTGTGTGTGTGTGTTGCTCCAAATCCATGGTGACAAGGCATTAAAAGGGTTTCTTGTACTACTTCTTCCCTTACTAGAGACTCAGAAATTCTGCCATATCCTTGGCACTAGTAATTTTGGATGACACCAGTACTTTTTTGTGGGATTTAGGATTTTAAATATTGTTTGAAAGGCCTTTGGGAATCTATACATTGTTAAATATTACTTTAAAACTTTAGCTTCGGTTACTGTTTGCCCTGACAAGGTATGTTTCTCCCTTTATTCCCTCTCCTTACTCCATATCCCACCAAATAAGTTGCCGTAGCTGTCATGATCAGGATGAAGCAGAGCCTTGGATTAATAACAAGGAAGGGTTCCACAGAGTAAGGGCCAGAAGGCTAAGACGTGGACTTTACAACTGCCTTTGCAAGTTATAAATCAAGGGCAACCAAATGGATAGGTAGAAATCCCTTTCTTCTGTGCTATAAAGAACAATTTTTCAATGTGAATTAATGTCTGTAGACTGGGAAGATGTTATTCATAGCTTAGTCTTAGCCAGAAATTTGTAAGAGCTCAGGGTCACATGACCTGCATGTAGATTTTTCTTTCAATGTTTACTGAGAATTCTGAAACAATGACTCCTGTTTATTTCATGTCAGGATGCTTCCGTGAAGTTGTGTGATTTTGGATTTGCTAAAGTTGACCAAGGTGACTTGATGACACCCCAGTTCACCCCTTACTATGTAGCACCTCAGGTAAGTAAGCACGTACTATTTTTTCTCTGCAGTGTATCAGCAAGCTGCCTACTGTCTCAGGTTCCTTCTAATTTGTACCAAAAGCATGCATGTTTTGTAGCTGGGAGGCAGGAGGTGGGCAGCTTAGCTCCAGAAACCTACCGACTACTTCCATTTGGCACAGATAGTCTTTCTTTTAAAAGCTGGAAAAGAGCCAGGTGCTGGTGGCTCATGCCTGTAATCCTAGCTACTCAGGAGGATGAGATCTGAGGATTGGGGTTCGAACCCAGCCCCGGCAGAAAAGTCCCCATGAGACTCTTATGTCCAATTAACCACTCAAAAACCTGGAAATGGCGCTGTGGCTCAAGTGGTGGAGTGTTAGCTTTGAGCACAAAGAGACTTAGGGACAGTGCTCATACCCTGAGTTCAAGTCCCACAACCAACAACAACAACAACAAAAATTCTCTCCTAAAACTTGCAGCGGGGACTGGGAAGGTGACTCACTGGTAGAGCGCTTGCCTTGCATACATGAGGTCCTGGGTTTGATTCCTCAGAACCACATAAGCAGAAAAAAAAAAGCCAGAAGTGGCGCTATGGCTCAAGTGGTAGAGCGCTATCCTTTAGCTGAATAGCTGAGGTACAGTGCCCAGGCCCAGAGTTCAGGCCCCATGACCAGACCCCCCCCCCCAAACAAAAAAAACAAAAAAAACAAAAAACTTGCAGGGGGTCTGCTTTTACCCAGGCAGAGTCATCCCCAGAGTCATTGATTGCAGATTTTTTTTTTTGTCGGTCGTGGGGCTTGAACTCTGGGCCGGGGCACTGTCCCTCAGCTCTTCAGCTCAAGGCGAGCGCTCTACCACTTGAGCTACAGCGCCACTTCCAGTTTTCTGGTGGTTTATTGGAGATAGGAGTCTCACGGTCTCTCCTGCCCAGGCTGGCTTTGAACCGCGATCCTCAGATCTCAGCCTCCTGAGTAGCTAGGATTACAGGCGTGAGCCACTAGCGCCCGGCTTGATTGCAGATTTTTTTATATGTAGAAACAAGACATTTAGGGGATAAAGATAAAAAGGACTTATGTGCTTTACCTGGATGTGTTTTTGACTGATTAATTATTGCTTTTGGTTTGTAAAAGTGCTATGTTGGTGTGAAGATTGTTTTATTGTGGTTTTTTTTTTGGGGGGGGGTCTGGTCGTGGGGCCTCTGGGCCTGGGCACTGTCCCTCAGCTCTTCAGCTCAAGTATAGTGCTCTACCACTTGAGCCACAGTGCCACTTCCGGCTTTTTTCTTTTTGCTTATGTGGTGCTGGGGAATCGAACCCAGGGCCTCAGGCATGCAAGGCAAGCGCTCTACCACTGAGCCACCTTCTCAGCCTGTTTTATTGTTAACTGGCAGTTAACTTCTAGTAGTCTCAAGTTGTAGGACTTTGGTGGTATGGTTTTCAGTAAGATTCCTTTTGGTCTGACAGGTACTGGAAGCACAGAGAAGGCATCAGAAGGAGAAGTCTGGAATCATACCTACCTCGCCAACACCCTACACCTACAACAAGGTAGGGAAGAGGTACTTATACCTGCACTGCCTGTGTAGCCTCTGTGTTCCTGTGAGCTATTTGTGAGATTGGAAGTGGCCAGAAGTAATAAAATTAGCTGTTTATAAATATTTTTGTGCTGTTACTGTGGCTTGCACTCAGGGCCTGGGCACTGTCCCTTAGCTTTTTTGATCAGAACTGACACTGTATCCATGGAGCCATAGCTCCATTGTTTATTGGTAGTTAATTGAAAAGAAGACCCTCACAGATTTTCCTGCCTGTGTAGTTAGGATTACATGTATAAGCCACTGACAGCTGTAAAAATTATTTACAATTCTGTTTTTTTTCCTTACCCATTTAGCTTTTGCAATGAAATTAAGGCTGATGGTCACAGATTATTTATTTGGCTGACTGTACAGGCCATTGATCACGTTAAGAGAATGAGGTTGGGTTACGTTTTTAATATACCAAAGCTAGAGAACTAGCTTTTTGGTGATCGTTTTGGTATCATTCATTCATTCTTTTTTTTTGTCAGCTGTAGGGATTGAACTCTGGGCCTGGGCGCTGTCCCTCACTCAGCTCTTCAGCTCAAGGCGAGCTCTCTACCACTTGAGTCACAGCACCACTTCTATGAACAATGTCTAGTATACATTACAAGTGTTTCTAATATTACTCATTACTTCCTCACTTGTAGGCCACCTAATGAAGCATTTTTTTTTAATTGTGAGAATACCGTACAGAGGAGTTACAATTACATGGGCAAGATAATGAGTACATTTCTTATCAAGCATTGTTGTCTCCTCGTTGTTTCCCCTTCCCATTCTTTCCCATACTCCTCCCCTCTCCCCACCCAATCCCCCCCCCCACCAAAGTTGTTAAGTTTGTTTTTGACATAACAACTTGTACAACTCATTGTTGCAATGGGTCCACCTGTATCCCTAGTTAAACAATTTTTTTTTCCCTTCCCCTCCACAAATTGTACCAACATCAAATACAGTGAAAGTATGGGTTATACTGTGGGGGAGGGGCATACAAAGCAACATAGAAATCATCTTATAAATATGATAGAAACAATTGCATGAAAGGAAAAAAAAACAACATTTGAATGCTTACATTGGGGTTCATTCCACTAACATCAACTTATCTGACCTTTTCTGCTTGACAGAATTTTGTTTTGATGCACAAGAAGTTTGGTGGGTTTTTTTTTTTTTTTTTTTGGTCGTGGGGCCTGAACTCTGGGCCTGGGTGTTGTCCCTTAGCTCTTCAGCTCAAGGCTAGCGCTCTACTACTTAAGCCACAGTGCCACTTCTGGCTTTTTTCTGTTTATGTGGTGCTGAGGAATTGAACGCACGGCCTCATGCATGTGAGGCAAGCACTACCACTGAGCCAACTTCTCAGCCTGATGTTCAAGAACTTTAGTGTTTCTAAAAACAGGTCCTGGCATTGCTGAGTAGATGAAAAAAAAATGGTGCTGTTTGTGGATTTGAGGCTAGATATGGATATTAGAGGATACATAATAGAGGACAGGATATCAGAAACTAGATACTGGGCTGAGGACAGTACAAAGACTGGGACATTTGCTTTATCTCACCATTCTTCACCTGTGTTGATTGACTGTGGTATCAGTTTCCTTATCTGTAAAGTGAAGGCTTTGAATTTGGTCATTTTAAAGAATTCTTTTAGCTAGACATTATAGTCCTTGAGCCTCTTAACTCCAGTTAGCCAGCAAAGAGCTGAAATGGACACATGGCTCAAGAGGTAGACCAACAGCATGAGCAAAAATGCTAAGTAAGAGTAAGAGGCCCTGAGATCAAGCCCCAGTACTGGCATGAAGAAAGAGAAGTTAGGTTTCCTAAGATGTTCTGAAACAGTTTTAATGTCAGTTAAATAACTCTTGGAGGTATCACCTTGTATTATACGTCAGGGTTGCCTTTGGGTCTTACTTTGGAGCTGTCTCTGCTTGTGAGCTATTGTTTTCTTTTTTCCTTTCAGAGCTGTGACTTATGGTCCCTAGGAGTGATTATCTATGTGATGCTATGTGGATACCCTCCTTTTTACTCTAAACACCACAGCCGGACCATCCCAAAGGACATGCGGAAAAAGATCATGACAGGCAGTTTTGAGTTCCCAGAAGAAGAATGGAGCCAGATTTCAGAGATGGCCAAAGATGTTGTAAGGAAGTGAGTCCTTGGGCTGCTGAATGGGAGGTCTGAGAAGGCCTTGAGGTGGTAGAATCAAGATTAATGTTGGGTAGGGAAAAGCCATTTGTTTCCCTGGTAGCTTCAGCCAATTTTGATGTCAGGAGTCTGAGGTAAGAGCTCCCAATGTCCATACCTCAGTCCAAACTTTTTTCTCTGTTGCATCCCTAGACTTTCCCAGGGTGGTGAACCCAGGTTCCTCTGTAGCCATTCTCTGTGGCTATTACTCGGGCCCTAAATGGTATACTTGCTGGTTTGCCTTTTTCTTGCACGCAAGCCAGCTGATGAGGGGCCTGATGTCAGGATCCTGAACTAAGGTGCTGACATGGCCATGACACATGTGGCTTTTCACATTTTGGATACTGTCAATAGTATGTGATTGTGTTTGACTTTGAAGTGAGCTAATTGAAGCCAGATCTAGGAACTTCCTGTGCTTCCTTTTAGGGCATCAGTACATGGCAGACCTGTTGGTGTTTTCTCTGTAGGCTCCTAAAGGTCAAACCAGAGGAAAGACTCACCATCGAGGGAGTTTTGGACCACCCCTGGCTCAACTCAACTGAAGCCCTGGATAATGTGCTACCCTCTGCTCAACTGATGATGGATAAGGTTTTGAATGATTGTTTTGTTGGCTGAAAAGGCTGTGTGGAGAAGGAAAGTTGGGGCTCGATTCAATGATGGGTTAAGGGAAAAACAATGGAGATCATGCTGTCTTTACTCAAAGATTATCTCTGGTTTTCTGCAAATCAGGATCTGAAATAAAGAACTTTCCATAAAAGACCAAATTAAGCCAGGCACTGATGGCTCACACCTGTAATCCTAGCTACTTAGGAGACTGAGAGCTGAGGACCAAGGTTCAGAGCCAGCCCAGAAAGAAAAGTCCATGTGACTTTCATCTCCAGTTAACCATAAAAAAGCCAGAGGTGTAGGTGTAGCTCAAGTGGTAGAGTGCCAGTCTTGAGCAGAAAAAGCCAAGCAAGAGAGAGTGTGTATGACAGAGGACAAAGACAAAGACCTACCAACTGACTGACTGGCTGGATCAGAGCCTGCTAAATAATGCACTAAAGGAACACTCAGGGACATGATCCATATGTGTGCTATGGGTTTGTGAGACAAACAGCAATGTAAGATTACCTTTGCCCAGGGCATTTACAGAAGACTGGTTGGGAAGGCAAAAAAATTAAGAGATCAAAGTGTCTCAGTGGGAAAGTCAGCCTGGCCTCACTCATGGAAAGTCGGTGAGATGGGTACAGCAGGACCAGACTTTGCCAGAAGAGTTTAAATCTAGGGGAATGGAACTGAGAGGCTATGCCACACTTTTGAGAACAATTTTACCTCTAGGAATATATTTAGGCGACAGTCAGTTAGACGTGCACAACTGCCAACCTGTGGCTTCAGGAGCAGTCTGAAAGCTGCAGCTAACTCAGAGAGATACAGATGAGAGAATGGGCTCAGTCTGCATCTGGAGAAAAACAAAATTCTAGCTTTAGGTGACCAAAGATCTAAGGAGGTGGTAGCTGGCCTATGTGAGGGTAACGTTGATGAACAGAGGGAAATCAGAGGAAGGAGGCTAATTTGGGGGAAGTGGAGTCTTAAGACACTGTTTGAGGTCAGAGGGACATTCAAATGAGTGGTTGTGTAGGGTAGAATAAGAAATCGGCTAAGAGCAAGGGATGGGTTTGAAATTTGACAAAGAATAAATGAATTGGGGAAAAAAGTGCTAGGTTTAGTAGGAACATAGAAGAAAGAGCTCGGAGGAACAAAATTCTCTGTCATCTCTTTGATTTGTAGGTGGTTGACTTCTTGGTTTAAGTATTTCCTCTTGTCCAGAAATGGTTTGGTCAGCTCAAAAGAATTACTTAGATCCTGGTTGCCAGGCACATGGCGGTTACAGTTTGGCATTCTTCAAGACATTGGAAATAAGGAGGTAACATTGCCTCTGGAATTACTTAAAAATCACTGCACGATGACTCAAGTCTGAATACACAGACTTTTTGAAAAATAAGAGTGGCTTTAGGCCTTGAAGGTGATACTGCAACTTTACTCCATTTCAAAGAAATCCTGTGTTCAAGGCGGGGATGTTCAACCATGTATACAAATGTGGAATAGAAACCATCTGAGTCTTACTCATGAGCCTGAGCTCAGGATCTTGAGCTATTTCCATGGTTTTGGTTGGGTCATTGCGGATGAGATGGATATAAGAATGCAGCCAGGACTGGCTATGAATACACGGTGTCCTTAGATGAAGAGTAGCTACTGTTTAAAGTTGTCAAATACAGAGGTGTTAAAAGAAGGAATTCCCTTTCATTTTTCTGCCAGTCTTTCTCCTTATAGATGAGGTATTCTATGAGCTTGATGTATCATGTATCCTTCCTGGTATTTTTCTGGTCACATCTGGACATATTCCTGCAAAACAGTCTGTCATTTGGTGTCAAATTGCTATTATCAGTGACTAAGCATGAGCCTGTTACTATACATGTATTTCTTAGTTGAATTTCTGTTCCCACTGTCAGGGAAAAAGGCTGGCTTTTGGTTGGCCTGGGCCATAGTAATTCAGGGGAAAGTCCTCTGCCGTATCAACATTTGTATAGCATCAGTACCAGAATGAAATTGCCATTTGAATACTTGGGGCTTCTCCTTACCACTTTACTAGACGTGGCTGTTTAGGTATCCAGCAATTAATGTGAAAAAAGGCTGACAAAGTTGCGTCTAGAGGTTGGCGCATGCTTCTGGTCTCAGCACTCAGCAGGCCATGGCAGGAGAGCTGCTTCACTCCATAAGTTTGAGACTAATTTGGACAATATAACAAGACCTTGTCTTAAAATAAAAACAAGAATAACTGATGTCAGTGTTTACATCTAGGCGGTGGTCGCTGGAATACAGCAGGCTCATGCAGAGCAGTTGGCCAACATGAGAATCCAGGATCTGAAAGTCAGCCTCAAACCACTGCACTCAGTGAACAACCCCATTCTAAGGAAAAGGAAGTTACTTGGGTAACTGAGCTTATTTCTTCAGTACTTCTTCATGGCTGCCATGTTTGAGGCTCCACATGAAAAGCTGTCAGGAGTCTGCCTTTTTTCTTTCTCTTTAAGTGGGTGGAGAACATAAGCTCTTTGAGTGGCATCAAAAGCTGGACACACTCTGTAGTAACTAATCTGAAAAATCTATTCTTTTGTGTATGGAGTTTATAACCCAGAATTGGGTTCTGAAGTATCTCTGTTTTTGCCTCTCCCCCAAACTCTTAAAGCACCAAGCCAAAGGATGGTGTTTATATCCATGACCATGAGAATGGCACTGAGGATTCAAATGTTGCCTTGGAAAAGCTTCGAGATGTGATTGCTCAATGTATCCTCCCCCAGGCTGGTAAAGGTCACGCCATTTACTAATGCTCTGTGTACATGTGACTGTGTGCATGCGTACATGTGTGTATACACATGAAAAAGAGTGGATTAATGTGATGCATTAGCTGTTTTTTCTTTGTATCATAAGTAAAAGAAGTGCATTATATAAATTAGCTTGTACACACTGAAAGAGTAGACACTGTAAACTTAGAAATGTGGTGAAGTCCTTCCCTCCTTTTCTTTGCTGTAACATTCTAGTATAGACTTAATGGCCAATGTCAGGTATAGCATGTCATTTTGGTTTACTTAGTCTTGACAATGGAAGCACACAAAGTATAGGATAGAGAATGAAGATACGGACAGGTTCAGGATTAAATTACAAACTGTAAACATCATTTCCAGAGCCTTTAAAAATCACTGCTGTCAGGACTGGGAATGTGCCTTAGTGGTAGAGTGCTTGCCTAGAATGCATGAAGCCTTGGGTTCAATTCCTCAATACCACATAAACAGAAAAGGCTGGACGTGGGCTGTAGCTCAAGTGGTAGAGCTCTATCCATGAGCATAGAGAGGCTCAAGGATAGTGTCCAGGCCCTGAGTTCAAGGCCCAGGATCAGAAGGGGGGAAAAAAATTACTGCTATCAGCTGGCCACTGGAGGCTCATACCTGTAATCCTAGCTACTCAGGAGGCTGAGATCTGAGGATTGCAGTTCAAAGCCAGCCTGAGCAGGAAAGTCTGTGACTCTTATCTCCAATTAACTACCAGAAAACTGGATGTGGCACTGTGGTTCAAGCGGTAGAGCACTCAGCTTGAGCCGAAAAGCTCAGGGACATGCCCAGGCCCAGAGTTCAAGAACCATGACTGACCAAAAAAATAAAAATCTTTAGCTTGTGAATATAAAGAGAACATCTCCCTAGTTCAGAACTAGCCCTTTTGCTTCTTGGCTTAGACAAAATTACTTTCACATAGAGAAGCTCGCGATGCGAGCAATTATTCTCAGCTGATGATGGCTTCATGTAACAGCCTAGGAAGTGTTGAGTTGACCTGTCTTGCTAGACTCCTGTGTCTTAAAAAAACTCACAAAATGCATCTCAGCCTTTTTTTAATTTTTTATTTTTGGGTCCGGTCATGGGTCCTGAACTCTGGGCCTGGGTGCTGTCCCTCAGCTCTTCAGCTCAAGGTTAGCGCTCTACCACTTGAGCCACAGCGCCACTTCCGGCTTTTTTCTTTTTTGCTTATGTGATGCTGAAGAATGGAACCCAGGGCCTCAGGCATGCAAGGCAAGCGCTCTACCACTGAGCCACCTTCCCAGCCCTGAGAGCCTTTTTAATAAGCAAAGGATGAGTTTAGGTGAAACAAAGTAGTACACTCCTGTTCTTCCTCCCTTTCTTAGTCTCAGGCTGCCCATGTTTTTGCTCAATAATAGTTTTGCTGCAGCAGAACTAGACTTTGGGGCTCTTAAAGCATTTGTGCAAAGATAGTAAAGTAGAAGAGCTCAATGGCCAGAAACAGTGGCATATAACATAGGGATTCACAGTAAAGTTAGCATCTGTTAAAGTTTTATGCATTTAGTCATCATTTCTCAACTGGTTGGACCATCATATCCTTCTGTTTTTGACATATAGTATTGAAGTGGCAACTTCCTCTTCATTCTTATCAATAGGAGAGAATGAAGATGAGAAGCTGAATGAAGTAATGCAGGAGGCCTGGAAGTATAACCGGGAATGCAAACTACTAAGGGACACCCTGCAAAGCTTCAGCTGGAATGGTAGGAACCTTAATTGGTCCTCGAAAGCAGACAAGTAATTCTGTGTGGAACATGTAGGATCTGTCTGGGGCCTGTGCTGGGACTCTAGGTGAAGTAAGGCTGGTGAGTGGACTATGGTGGGAAAGAACTATGGTGGGAAGAGGGTTAGCCCTTTCTTACTTGCTCCGGTATATCTGAATATCCAGTCTTTTCACTTGTCCAGAATTAAGGGGTGCACATTCAACACCAGACCCACCACAAAGCAAAAAAGGCGATTTCTGAACTTGTACATATAGGCAGCTCAGCAGGTCATTAAACAACACATTATGAAAGGGAAAGGATTCCCTGCAGAAACTTTACACTAATGATGTACTTAGCATAGAGGAGAACCCTGAAACTGAAGAGTATAAGGTTTACCACATAGTTGCTAGTGAATTTTTTTCCCCAAGTAAACAAGAGATAGATTTCTTCTTACTTAAAACATTATTGGCACTTTTAATTTGGATTTTATGTTGTCATTGTAGTTACCCAAACTACATTTAAAAAGTTCCAGGAGGGCTGGGAAGGTTGCTCAATGGTAGAGCGCTTGCCTTGCATGCATGAGGCCCTGGGTTCGATTCTCAGCACCACATAAGCAGGAAAAAAAAAAACGAAGTGGTGCTGTGGCTCAAGTGGTAGAGCGCTAGCCTTGAGCTGAAGAGCTGAGGGACAGCGCCCAGACCCAGAGTTCAGGCCCCACAACCGGTCTCCCCCCCCCCCCAAAAAAAAGTTCCAGGATCCTCAGGAAGGGGAGCAATGTTTTTTTTTTTTTTTTAATACATCAGTATCTAGCTTGTTTGTTATAGATGTGCCATAAGAAATTTGAAGAGTCCTATAGAATTTCCTGCGTGGGCTGGCTTTGAAACGTGATATTCAGATCCATTTGCTGAGTAGCTAGGATTACAGGTTAGAGCCACCGGCATACAGGGATATAGGGATTCTGTTTTAGCCATTTTGGTTAGTGTGTTTTGGTGTTGTAGTGTGGGCTTAGTTGGAATCATTCTGATAGCAGATGGGACTGTGAACTTTTTTTTCCTGCAGGTTTGAACTTAAGAGCCTAGGTGCTGTCCCTGAGCCATTTTTACTCAAGGCTAGCACTCTACTGCTTGAGCCACATCTCCACTTCCAGTTTTCTGGAGGTTAAGTGGAGATAGGAGTCAGGTCCCGGTGGCTCACATATGTAATCCTAACTATTAAGAAGGCTGAGATGCCGGGCGCTGGTGGCTCATGCCTATAATCCTAGCTACTTAGGAAGCTGAGATCTGAGGATCGCGGTTCAAAGCCAGCCTGGGCAGGAGAGACTGTGAGACTCCTATCTCCAATAACTACCAGAAAAACTGGAAGTGGCGCTGTAGCTCAAGTGGTAGAGCGCTCGCCTTGAGCTGAAGAGCTGAGGGACAGCACCCAGGCCCAGAGTTCAAACCCCACGGCCGACCAAAAAAAAAAAAGAAGGCTGAGATATGAGGATCATGATTCAAAGCCAGTCCAGGCAGAAAAGTTTGTGAGACTCATCTCTAGAAAACAGAAGTAGAGCTGTGGCTCAAAATAGAACATTAGCCTTGAGAAAGAAGAGCTCAGAAACAGTGCCCAGGCCCTGAATTCAAGTGCCACAACTAACAACAACAACAAAATAATGATAATAAGTAGCACAGACTTTCCTGCTTGGGCTGGCTTTGAACTGTGATCCCCAGATCTCAACCTTCTGAGTAGCTAGGATTATAAGTGTGAGCTACCAGTACCCAGTGACTGTTCACTTTTGAAATGTTTATTGGCCAGTTAGATTCCTTCTTTTGTGAAGTGTGAACTCAAGTTGTTGGCCATTTTACTGACTTGTAACTTCCTCATATATGTGAAGGGCTTCTTTATATATTCTGGATATGAGTTCCTTGCCAGACACACCAAATTACATAATTTTTTTTTTTTTTGCCAGTCATGGGGCTTGAACTTGGGGCCTGGGCACTGTCCCTGATCTTTTGTTCAAGGCTAGCACTCTGCCACTTGAGCTACAGTGCCTCTTCTGGCCTTTTCTGTTATGTGGTATTGAGGAATGGAAACCAGGGCTTCAAGCATGCTAGGCAAGCACTCTACCTCTAAGCCACTTTGCCAGCCCAATCTCTTTCTCTGCTTTGCTTCTGTGGGGTTGTAATGAACTTTTAATTTTTTTTTATTTCCTGGATAATAGAACTTCCCAATTACTAGCTGAAAAATGGGAGCTGTTTTTATTTTTGTTTATTTTTGTTTTTTGTTGGTTGTAGGACTTGAACTCAGGGCCTAGGTGTTATTCCTGAGCTCCTTTTGTTCAAGGCTAGCATTTTACCACTTTGAGCCACAGTTCCACTTCTGCTTTTCTGGTGGTTTTTTTGGAGATAAGAATCTTATAGACTTTTCCTGCCAGAGCTGGATTTGAACCATGAGCCTCAAATCTCACCCTCATAAGTAGCTAGGATTACAGGCGTGAGCCACCAGCACCTAGTTAAACTGCTTTTGAGTGGGGTTGGCCCACTCATTTGTGAGGGTAAATTCAAGAATGGTAGGGCGCACCTCTTAGATTCCTAACAAGAGTCCCTCAGCTCAATCAGTGAGAACTGACCTTGTTCTTTCTTGGGTTTCAGGTCATGGATTCACAGACAAAGTAGATCGACTCAAACTGGCAGAAATTGTGAAGCAAGTGATAGAAGAGCAAACCACTTCCCACGAATCCCAATAATAACAGCGTCAAACTTTGTTTTTTAAGAATTTGAAAAATTATTCCTTAATGTATAAAGTAATTTTATGTAAATTAATAAATCATAATTTCATTTCCACATTGCTTACAGTTGTTACATACATTAGGGGCAGAGTTTAGTATACTTGTTTGTTGGTCAAAGCTCAAATCTTAGAGACTATTGATTTAGGATTGTTTTAGTTTTAGTGGTATATGGCAATAATATTGTCAGGAAAGACTATTTTACTTAGAATGAAGTATTCATAAACCACTTGGTAGAGGTAGATAAAGGACCAACTAACTGACCTACTGCTTAGTGAACAAACAGTTGAGTCTAATACTGTGGAATCTCGCTCAGTTGCCCTGTGCGTTTACCTTCTACACCAGTGATAGATTCACTCAAGTGCCAAGAAACTGTTGTAGATCTGTCGTTGCAGATGCACAGAGGGGCCTGCGAGCTGCTTCCTGTGATGGAAGAGGTGGGAACCGTGTCCTTCCTTTTCTTGCCTCTTAATTCCCAGAAAAAAAGAGGCAGTATTTCCTTTTTGTCATTGTTTGTATATATGGCACCAGTGTGTTGCTTAAATCTAGTAGAATTTTTGTGGGGTGTGTATGTGTGCATGCGCTACTTCTGGGGCTTGAACTCAGGGCCTCAACACTGTTCCTGAGTTTTTATGCTCAAGGTTCATGTTCTACCACCTGAGCCACAACTCCACTTTCAGCTTTTTGGTGGTTACTTGGAGATAAAAAAGTTTCACAGGCCAGGTGCTGGTGGCTCACGCCTGTAATCCTAGCTACTCAGGAGGCTGAGATCTGAGGATCTCGGTTCAAAGCCAGCCCGGGCAGGAGAGACCCTGAGACTCCTATCTCCAATAAACCACCAGAAAACCAGAAGTGGCGCTGTAGCTCAAGTGGTAGAGCACTCGCCTTGAGCTGAAGAGCTGAGGGACAGCGCCCAGGCCCAGAGTTCAAGCCCCACGACCGAACAAAAAAAAAAAGTTTCACAGACTTTCCCACCTAGGCTGGATGCAAACCATGATCCTCACATCTCAGCCTCCTGAGTAGCTAGGATTCCAGGCATGAGCCTTCGGCACCCCACTTTAGTTTTATTGTTGACATGTTTACGCACAGCTTCCCTTTCCCGAGTTCCATTGTGTTGAGAGAGCCCTTGCCTCCTCTACTACTTTGCTTTCCTTGTTTTTCTTGTTTCTTCTGGGATGATTTCCCTGTGCTACTTATATATAACAGAAACTTGACTAGTGTCTAAGATGATCCACTTTTGTTTTTGTTCCCCCCAACCTCTGTAATGTTCCTGCCTGGATTTCTCATTGGCATCCTCTGAGCTGTATTTGTTTTCTTTAGTACCCTCCATCTTCAGAGCAGCTGTTTGAGTGAAAGTAAGTCCAGATGCTTTTCTAATATGGGCACAATTTTGTTGCTTGTTCAAACTTTTTTTTTTTGTTCAAACTTTTTTATTGGGTAGATGTGTTAGTAGTAGAAGAGCTCACAGAGAAACTCCCATCCCATCCAGAGAATTCACTTAGTTTCTAATGCTCCTAATTTTTTTCTGAGAATATGCTTTCACAATGACATTTGGTTAGTATGCCCTGTATGTGTGGAACTCACTATAGGAATATAAATGATAAAAACATAACATAGCCAGGTACCAGTGGCTCATGCCTGTAATCCTAGCTACTCAGGAGGCTGAGATTAGAGGATCACAGTTCAAAGCTAGCCCAAGCAGGAATATCAGTGAGACTTAACCACCAAAAAACCGGAAGTGGCTATAGCTCAAGTGGTAGAGTACTCACATTGAGCTGAAGAGCTCAGGGACTACACCCAGGCCCAGAGTTCAAGACCCAGGACCAACACACAAACACACACAAAAATATGTATTTTTTAAAGAACTACTTTATTACACAGACTATCTTGGAGGATGTGTTATTCAAGGTACCTGAGGTAGGATTCCCTAATTTTATTTTATTTTTTTTGGGTCTGGTAGTGGGGCCTGAACTCTGGGCCTGGGCGCTGTCCCTCAGCTCTTCAGCTCAAGGCTAGCGCTCTACCACTTGAGCCACATCGCCACCTCCGGCTTTTTTTCTTTTTTTTTTTTTGCTTATGTGGTGCTGAGGAATCGAACCCAGGGCCTCAGGCATGCAAAGCAAGCACTCTACCACTGAGCCATCTTCCCAGCCCCAGGATTCCCTAATTTTAGATGACTGATCAAAGATTTTTTTTTTTTTGGGTCCGGTCGTGGGGCCTGAACTCTGGGTCTGGGCACTGTCCCTCAGCTCTTCAGCTCAAGGCT